GCTCAAACAGACAAGCTGATCTCGGATCTTAACACCACCTCAGACTAATCTTCATTTCGGACTCCATATCTACTTCGGAAATTGGTGACTTCAGATCTTCATACTTGTGATTTCTAGTGGTTCACTTTTCATGTTTCAACAAACCCAAATGGTTATTTCACCGTTTATAGGATCATAATTTGTATTTTGGTAGTTTGACCACCATTTGTAACATTCTGTTAAAATCAAATAAATAAAATAAAATAAAAATAAAACTCAATAAAATAAAATATACAAAATAAAATAAGATTTCCTGTCACACCCCGCTAAAGCGGAAACACGAGGCGTGGCAGTATAAAGGGTTTCATAGCAAAAGTTAAAAGACAACACCAACCATAGTATTAAAAACCATTACAAATTTACAATGGGTTTGAACAACTTTTAAAAGAAATTACAATTAAAATAGAAATACAACACATGCAAATGCTTCTAAAATTGAAGTGTCCCTAAGTGCCACTTACTCGATGATTCCTGAAAAAACATGTAAAACGAGCATCAACTATAAAAATAGTTGGTGAGTACTCACAAGTTTAACAAAATAATATTGGTTCATGAGTTGAAATCAAAGTTTTGATAAAAGTTTCCAATAATAAAAGTATATTGATAAAAGGAGTAAATAAGTTTGTAAACACAGTTCGTTGTCATCATGAGAAATAAAGTATGTTTCCCGAATAAGATGCAACATACATATTCTCATGAAAGATAAAGTTCGTTACTCAAACGAGTAAACAAGTTTTTCATTGCTAAAATGAGCAATCAATTTCGTTGCTACAATGAGCAAACAATTTCATTGCTAAAACATGTATATAAGTTTTTAGTAATAAAAGTTCGTTGTTGTAATGAGAAACAAAGTTCATTGCTATAATTAATAAACAAGTTTATTGCTATAATGAGTAACGAGTTTCGTTGCTAAAATAAGTATTCAAGTTTCATTGCTAAAATAAGTATACAAGTGTCGTTGCTAACATGAGAATACAAGTTTCGTATGTGCATCAAGTTTCCATTCATGAGTTCACAACCCAAGCCTAATGACCGAATCGTGCCCTATTGACTACTATGTGTATCGCAAACATAGTTTATAAAATAGTAAAATGCACTCAAGCGAATCGTGCGAGTGAGGAGTTGTCTAGCTCCTGATAGCGCTATCCATAATAACCATAGGCTCAAAAGAGTTAATGAGTTGTGTCTAGAGATTCCAGGGACTTAACCCCGATATTGTCCTCATGAATTAAAGTAACATACACATACATACGAAATATAGCAACCAAGTTTCATACAAGTCAAAATAAATACAACGAACATAAAAGTAGTTTAGGACATGCTTTTCCACCCCAAAACATTTAAAAACCAAAAATAGGGGAGTGCGTGAATACTCACAATGTGCAAAATATAGTAATCAAGTTTATACGAGTCAATTAAATATAACGAACATAAGTAGTTTAGGTCATGCTTTTCCACCCCAAAACATAAAAACCGAAAATAGGGGAGTGCGTGAATACTCACAATGTGCAAAATATAGTAATCAAGTTTATACGAGTCAATTAAATATAACGAACATAAGTAGTTTAGGACATGCTTTTCCACCCCAAAACATAAAAACCAAAAATAGGGGAGTGCATGAATACTTACAATATGCATTGAGATGATGCAAATGGTGCCTTGACTATGCTCCACTCGTACCACTATCGATTCCTACAATAATGGTATTCGCTAGTGACTCTCTAATCGAAATCTAACACTAGTATACTTACTACTACAATAGAATTATGCCAATAGTGTGCCAAAATTTAATATTGATAAGTTATAAACATTTTTCTGTTAAAATTAAATTCCAATGAATCAATTGTTATATAACAATTTAAGTGTAATTTCTGACTATTGAAATGTTAATATTTAACATTTTAAGAGGCGTTCCAATGATTAAATATTCAAAACTAAATCAATTTAGTTCTAAAATATCCAAAACTTTGCATTTAAGTTTTAATTGAAGTCAAAGACCTCAAGATAAATTTTCTTGAATTTTTGATATGTCTAACTATTTTTCACCATTTTAGTTTCTTGAATAACCATAAATTCATGAAAAATAGTAATGAGTTAAGAAAATTCCCCAAACTTTTTATATTATTGTTATCAAACATTAATAAGCTGGGAAAAATATAAAAATGGATTTCCAAGCTGATTAATTATATTTTATGATTTTTGAGCATTTATTCCAATAAAAATTGAAATAAATAGAAAATAGTTTCCAAAATTACCCATACTTTTTATTTAACTTTTATTATACATAAATAGTCTGGGAAAAATATAAAAGATATTTTTCAGTGGGCATTTCTATTTTTCCTTGTTTTATCCCCTTAAATAATCATTAATTGAAGAATAAATAATAAACAGTTAAAATAAATTACCAAAAAATTTTGTAACATCATTTACAGTGTAAGTAATCTGGGAAAAATACCAAAAGTGGTTTTCATATTGTATAATCCAGTTTTGCGTATTTATGTGTATTTAAGTGTATTTAAGTGTATTTAACCTTAGAAAATAAGAGAAAAATAGTATATAGTAGAGAAAAATCATCAAAATTTTAATGTAATCTCCTACTGTACAACATGATGTTCTGGTAAAATTTCATGAATTTTGGATAATCGGAACTATTTTTCCTCTTTTTAGGCCATTATAATTACCAAAATTTGGGAAAAATAGGAAGGCATGATGAAAAATTCTGAAATTATTTTTTTCAGTCTCGCACCGCAGGTAAGAGCTGAGAAAATTGTTAGATACAATTTTTACACTCCCTAAAGTGGTTTTGTGATTTATTATACCCAAACAAAAAGAAAATCAAAAATCATACTAACAGAAACATAAATCTATGAAATTTAATGAGATGTCATTATTCACCATAGGGGTGATCCACGAATTTATTCCGGATTTATAGACCTATGGAAGTATTTTATATGATTTATTACCTTATTTTATTGCATTAATTATAATAATACAAGAAAAATGAATTATCTTTTGGAAATTTACAGAGCATCTTATTTTGTTGATGAGAATCTGGGAAAAATCGGATTTGGTCAAAAAATGATTTTTAGATATTTATTTGGAAATAAATCTTTCATTAACATATTTGAAAGCTTTTAACAACAAACTTTGATCATCAAGCATCTAAGCTTGAAGATCATCACATGTATGTTGGTTTAAAGATCATTCATGAGTTTGAAATGTTCAAAAATCGTTTTTGAAAGAAAACTTTGGATGCATGTGGTGATTTTCCACCAAAACATGTAGAAAAGTGCATTTCCTTGATTTTGACTTACGTTTAGGTCCTTGGATTTCACCATTTACAACATGCATGTTGTTTTTGGGTGAAATCCTACCACCATCATCATCAAAACCGTGAGTATGTGCAAATGTTCATGATTTTACAATAGAATGGAGTAGAAGATGGAGAAAATCCATGAAAACAAGTAAAAGTTGAAGGAAAAGAGAAGGAAAATGAATGATTTTCGGGTTTACCTTTAAGAACACCTCAAGATGGTTAAGATTTAGAGCTCATGGTGTGTTCTATGACCTATTTTCTGGAGAATTTCGTGGTTGAGGGAGAGAGGAAGAGAGAAAAGAGAGAAAATGAAGTGAGGGAGTGTGAGAGAGAAAGAGATGGAGTGGGTGAGTGAAATTGATTAATGAATTAGGAAAATGGTGTATTGGGAAGAGGAGGAGGGTATTGGGAGAGGGGAGGCCGAGATTTTGGGTGAGAGAGGCTCCTTCTCTCTTGTTTCTTTTATAAAAATTTAAATCTTTTATAAAAATATCAAACTTTTTATAAAATATACACTAAAATCAAGTTTTTATTCATAAAACCTTTATTTTGCTTTATAAATTTAGGGTAATTGTTATTGACTTAAATTTTATTTTGCTTAAATGAATTTTCATAATTTTAATTATTATAAGATCATATTATAAGTTTCGTAATTATTTTTATAGAATTTTTAAGGTTAAAGTTCATAAATGTGAGTTTTTAGGGCATTTAGGGTTTTTGAGAGTTTGTAAGTCTTTGGATATCAAAATTAATTAAATTTTTGAGACTTCAAACTATTTTAGAGTTTCATAACTCTTATTCAAGTTAGAAATAATGTTTGTAATATTTTTTTATCGGTTTATTGGCATTCTATGTAGTGATTCCGAGATTCAAGCGAAATTGAGGAATCAAGTATACTAGTCCTACTCTTCAACTTTGACTTAAGTTTCTATGTGACTTTGACCTAATTTCTACCACTAGGTCAAGTGCAGGATGTGTGTATATGGTTCATGAAATGGTGTTCAAGTCAAAGAGTGACCCTAATATAGATAGTCACTAAAGTTAAGTAATAGTAGAATTCACATATCAATGTGAAATCTAAGAAGGATCTTCGGATGCAAAATGGACCAGAGATGAGTGTTGATACAGATGAACAACACAACTGGAAGCATTTAGACAAATGGTGCACTTTCTATACCCTTAGCTGCCCTTGGATTCATGACAAGGTTAGCAAGTGGAATTTTTTCTAAGGGTCAAAGAAACATTACAAGTACTTCAGGGGTGATAATGTAACACTACATAAGGAAGATAAAAATGATAATACCCTTATAAGATTGGTTTCTGGATAATTTATACAAAATAATCTTTTTTTTTTTTTTTTTTTTTTTTTTTTTTTTGCATTTTTTCATCCCTATTTTCCTGTTTCTTAACATTTTTCATCTAGAAAAATATATATGGTTCTAAGAGTTTTCAAATTCTTGCAACTCCCTAGATCGTTTTTATTTATGAAAAATGTATGTTTAATTTGATTTATATGTTTATCATTCTGTTAGTAAGGTAACAAACAAGTCTTTATTTATCTATATCTTCTATAAATGTAGTTTTAGGTGTGGGACCCTTGTGAGTGGCGACAATAGTGACGGTTTTCAGTTTTGGGATAGTTCACATGGTACTCTGTTGCAAGCACTTTCTTGCCATGAATGCTTTGGCAGCTAGTTCTACCCATACCAAGGTGTTCTCAGTCAGTCAGGTACTAAATACTATTTTAAGTTTCAGTTTGTTGGACTTGGATTGGATGTTGTAGTATCATATGATGATTTTTGTTTCAGGTTATATTATTTAATTAAGGTATTTGGTGACAGATCTTGTTCTCCCTGCGCTTGGTGCTCTTAGAGGATTTCTCTTGTGATAGATAGAGAAACTGGAAACTCAAAAGGATACACGTTCTGTGTTTATTAGGACTTATCTGTTACCGACATTGCTTGTGCAGCTCATAATGGGTGACAAGACACTTACTGTTAGACGCGCTAACCAATGTCAAACTCAACCCAAGCCTGAACAGGAGAGCGTGCTTTTACATGCACAACAACAAATTGCATTGAAGGTATTAAAAAAAAATTCCATTTTTAAAAAAAATCTCATTTATAATATTATAATTAAATAATATTTTTGTTTGCAGAGGATGATGTTGCAACTACCTCCCTCCATTGGGACAACTGCCACTAAATTTCTATGTTTAACACAAGTGGTGACTGAAGATGAACTTAAAGATGATGAAGATTATCAAGATATATTGGAAGACATGCAAAATAGAATGTGGAAAATTCGTTAAATTAATCTTATTTTAACTTTCATTTTCTCGCTTTATAATTCTAATTTCGTATTTAACTTCCTACTTTGCCAAATCGTTTATATATCAATCTATTAATTTTTATCGTTTTCATATCTTTCTGTTTTACAGCCTTTTGTAATCACACTCCTATAAAGCATCCAGACAGAAGCCCCTTCTTTTTACCCCACCTGTTTATATCCATATCCAATATTTACACCGAATAATTTTTTTTAATCTCAGTTTTTCTCACTAATTTTTCAGGTAGTCTAGTAAATGTTGTAATTCCACGCCCTAACCCTACTGGAGAACCAGCACCAGGTGTTGGCAAGGTTAGTTTAGTCTTTTCTCATCTCTTAAGTGTTGTTTGTTTTTCTTTCATTACATTTTTTCAACAAACTATTTTCACAATATTCATTAATGTTAACGAATGAAAGTATGTTGCTATTTTTTTGCACATTTTGTAGGTGTTTTTGGAGTATGCTGATGTGGAATTAGATTCCCAGTCGCCCTAGGCTTGGTGGAGCAATTGTACCTAGTACAAGATTGACTATAATGGGAATTTACAGCATATTTCAAGCTTCAAAGACATCCAAATCGTAATACTTTCACTCTATCTATTCACCAATAACATTTAACTTTCATACATTTTCAATATAGCTAAATCTGGCAATCTTTTCTCTGTTTTGATCTAGTCACAAAGGAGCAGATGCTATTAGACAACCGTATATAAGAATTATTAGAACACCTATTTGAATAATTTGCACCTTAGATATATGTATATATACTTTGTATTGAGATTTAAGAACAATTTTCAATTTGCAGGTATGCTATATGTGGGCATTTAACACTGAAAAAGATAGTAGCTACAAGACCATCTACTAAAGCAAGGTTGGTGTAAGAGTTGATGACGAGAACATTGTTCCAAGACCTTCAGTGAGTTATGATGATGTCCCTTAATAGCAATGTAGTACTAGGTTATATAGTTAAGGATGATTATTTGTATTTGACATGTTAGTGCAATGAATTATCTTTCTTATTTATTGTATTGTTCTTTGTATTTTGTATGACATTAACTTTTGTGCAATAGATTGTATTTTTTGTAAATGGTATTTTATTTTCTATTATGAGACATGAAATGCAAATTTATTTTGAAAATTGGTAAATCTATAAATAATTTTTTAAAAAAATATAATATAAAAATTACGATACGCAAAAATATGTGTCATCTTCATTTATGACATGGCCTTTCTTGACAGCGACTTTAATGATACGCATTGCGTGTCATAAATGCGCGTCATCTCTCGTTATGACATGGTCTTCCTTGACGCGCATTTGCGCGTCGTCTGAGCGTTTTACGATACCAAATGAGCGTCGTAAAAGGCTGTTTTTCTAGTAGTGATACAAGAGATGTGTGAGTGTTCTTTAAAATGGATTACATAGATTTGAGGTTTGTAAGGGGTCTTTGATATTTTATAAATATTGTTTAAAAACATATTATATAATAGTTATTGCATGTATCCAATAAACAATTGTACACTTTAAAAAATCTTATTTTATATAAAATCACATTTTAACAACGTTCTTTTATAAAACATGGTTTTATAAAATTGACACGATCAAATTTCAAATTAATAGCTAGTATTAAGTTTCACCATTTAACCGTTATCTGTAATCTTTTTACTAAAACTTCCTTTTATAAAATAACTTTTGGAGTTTGATAAGTTTATAAATCCCTACTTTAAACTTATATAATTTTAATCTCAAAATTTTATTGGTTTTTAGTTTTAAAAAAATAAAGCTTGTTTTATTTTAGAACTGTTTTTACCATCTTATGGTAAAAAATAAATTCCATTAAAACCAAACTTCTTTTGATGTTTATGTATTTTCATATATTATTTTGCATTTGAAAAACTAATTTATCATCCATAACATAATAATAACAACAACAATATAAAACAACACAAATATGTTAAAAAGATATATGCCTAAACTAACCATTTAATAACATTTTGTGAGCCATCACAAAATTTCAAGTCCATTGCTAAAGGGACATTTAAAGGGAAAAAAAGTCTTATGGTTATGTTGTTGTAGAAGCTCTCACTTGATAAAACATTCATTGTTTGCAAAAAGTTGAAAAGCTTCATGAAAGATAACATTTCAACAACATGCAACATGTTTCAGAAAAGGTTGCAGAAAGTGGTGCATTAGGACCAGCAACTCTAAGGGAATCTACCAACAGCAAAACATTTAGCAAAAGCTTGCAGAAGAGGTTGCAACATCCCATGTACACTTTAAAGTTACGGAATTACCCTTTTGATCTTCAAAAATGGTTCCATCTTCATTTCTTGGTACTTTTATACAAAATAAATTATTCCTAAAACTAATCTACTATTTAAAAATTAAACAAAGAAAACTTATCTATTAGTTGTTGAGTACCATATGAAAAAATAAATATTACAACCATTTTTCAATAAATCAACACATACAACAACACAATGGTCTTTGGCTAGTTAAACCACATCATATATATATATATATATATATATATATATACACACACACACACACACACACACTCAAAATGATATAAAACAACTTTTTGTTATTCTAAAACACCTTTGTGATAGAAAGTATGTACGGATTTTCTTGCAAATAGAAAACGATCTAGGTTTTCCAAAAACAAAGATTTCACCAACTTAAAAAGAAACTAACTAAGCGTTCAAAATGACTCTTATACCAATTGTTGGGTTTTTATTCAAAAATTGTTTCATTCACACCAAAAGATCATTTGGCAAGAAGGTAAAAATATTAAACATAACCAAAGAAGAAGAATGTGAAACAACGTTTGAAGACTTTGGTTCCTTATGACAATTTGGAAGTTGATGAAGATGTGATTAATCTCCAAGGAAGAAGCTCTCTAGAATTATCCACCAACGCTTAGCTAACTTGATAAGATGCTAGTCTTCTTTTTTAATAAAAGAATATCATAAGCCTTTAGGAACAAAACAAAACTTCTGTTCTAGAGGGGAGTTCAATTAAAGTATCAATAATCTTCATATTTTGATATTAACACCTTAATAGACAACAACTAAAGAGATTATAGAGACAGGAAGCCCACAAACTCGTAGGTTTTGGATAGTAAAAGAAGAGATACATGCAAACCTTTTAATCATCTTAATTCAAGTCCTTACTCTTTGAGTTGTAATGCTTTAATACACCATGCATCTAGCAACAAAGAGGCTACAAGTGTAACAATATGGATTTATGATTAAATAAATGCAAACATGTCTTCTATTCCTTTTATTGTCTCCTTGAATATTTTATAAAATGAAGAAGCTAGTTTTTCTATAAAAACTCTCATTACTTTTATAACTTATAAAACATATAAATCTATATAAGACAAAAATCCCTTTTGGTCCAAAAAGATGTTAATGTCATAATAAATTATACCTTATGATATCTCATGATATATTTTGATACTTACCATTGAAAATTAATATTTCCATGAAATATATAATTTTTAATTAAGTACTATATATATATGTATGTATGTATGTATGTATGTATGTATATATATATATATATATATATATATATATATATATCAAGAATCAAACTCTCATGCATCAAGTTGTTGTTAGTGTGACCCTTTAAGATCATATATTATCTAGCAATATCATTCTATAATAACTCTGAGGCATATAGATCCTTAATTAAGACACGTGGGATTAGTTAAATTACATGTCTTGATAGTCTAATAAGTTACACTTAGTTGTGTTAAAAGTGTTAAATTTAAAGCCTAATCATTAACTCCTGAATGGAACACAAAATGTGACTTAAAAGCTAATATGATCAATTTCACTAAATTTGTCCTCCAATTTCTACAAGTAGTGCAGGACTATCAGAGTTTCCAAAAATCATGAAACTTAGTTTTTTGGAAATCTTTGTATGCATAGTTCCTCCGAAATTTGAATCGTTTTACCTAATTCCAACTCCTTGAAGGGTATAATTGTCAATCTTCTCAGACTGGTCTATGATGTCACATATTTCATAGGTTGTCTTTCAAAAATCATAATAAATTCATTATGACTCTAATTGTTAAAATTTTGAGGCCTATAGTTAGATATGGATGTCTAGTTTCTCCCATACCAAGGAATTTATGTAATTCCTAGTGTAGTTGTATAATTTATTCAAAGAGTGCAGAGTGGTCTGGTAAGTGACTAAAATTATACATCAAATTGTGACATGCATAATTAATTCTACAAAACCCCAATTCATGACAATTCAAAGGCTATGGTTAGACAAAAATTTTAATACACGTAGAATAAATGTTACCACATTTACAAGTGTGTCCAGAAACTGAAAATTATGAGTTTCTAACTTGTAATATTAATATAAAATAAAAAAATCTTTAGAAGAAGATCTTTATATTTACAGAGAGGTAAGAGAGGGAAATATATGAATATAATTTTGGCAGAACCTAAGTATGAGTTCAAAGGTAAGAAATTGGATCTCAAACAGAACACTACAATTAAAGAGAATATAAAGAAGTATAAATACAAGTATTTTAAGGGCAATGCAATATAGCATATGTTGAGTAATGTTATAATTGTTATGTAGGTTATCAGAAAGTAAATGATCCATCTAGCTCCTTCTAACTAAGTTTTAAGTTCAAGGAGTTAAGTTACACTAACTCTCCTTCTTTGTAGGCATTATTTGTTTCATGTTATTATTCATGGATACCCTAATCTAGTAAAGCGAACAAGGAAATATAGAATGTGGTTTGTTCTCTAGTGAGATAAACTACACTCGTGTCTCTTATTTCCCTATTAGGGAGTAAGGGAGATAGTTCCCGTAAAGGGGAACAAGTTTATCATTGGTACCAACAATATGTTCTAGGAATGTTAATGTTTTATGTATCTGTGAAATGTTATGTTATGTGTTAGTAAATGGTCTATATAATTGTAGAGTAATTTGTATGTTCATTAAGCGTTATGCTTACCCGTTGTTACTTAACATTTTTCAGGATAGTCAGGTACTAATAAAAAAACTGGTCGGTGTGACTGCAGACGACATTCTCTTTAAGACTTTTATGAAATTTACTAAGATGTGTTTTTGTTACCTAGCGTGTTTTTTGTTTCAGCTAATGTTTTTAGAATAATATTTATGAATATGGTGAATATTTTTGAAAACTTTATTTATATTTAAAAACAATTGATTCGTTACGCAAGATGGCCACACTTTTCATCTCTCTTCCAGGTGTATAATCATTAAAAACTTACCACCCTAATGGAAAGCCTCCTCATTGTATGACCTCCTAGTTTAAGGCCTTCAAGTCGAGCAGGAAACACATAATAGGGGAAAATCTGGTAAATTTAGATTGAGGATCAAGTGTGAACGATGTGGATGTGGGGTTCTAGAAAAAAGGGGAATAATTGATTCAAGAACAAAAGAGGCTTGATACCCAATAAAATAGAGTTCAATAAACTGGGGCGTCAACTACAAAGCAACC